GAATGGAGTGAAGAGACACGAGGGAGAGGATCTCTCAGCTTCTGGAGTAGCTAAGGCAATTCCGCCCTCTTTGCTCACGTCACCACTGTAAGAACACACGCACTTTGGCACTTTCCTCTATTTTTAATCTGGAAATATATGCTGGAAAGTGTCACACTGTTGGCAGAGTCTGTTTGTTCTAAACAAGAAGCTGGTTTGTTGTTTGCCTTTCTTCTGCAGAATGCAGGTGGAAATTGGAATGAGGTCCCACCACCATTCATGTGAGAACAGTAACAGTTTGTGCTGCCTTGAAGTGCAGATGGGGTGCGGGGAGAGCTTCCTCTTGAGACACCCAGTACTGCGTGACTCATTGGACTCTCCTCAGAGATTCATTCACGATCTGCTGTGTTTCCTGGTTTGTTTTGCACGCTAATCGCTGCAGGCAGAACGTCTGTCCATCTCTCTTTTAGACACAGATATTGGCCTCTGTATTTTAATCACGTTCACTTGCAAAACACTGGCGTCAGCATCAGATCCTAGGCACATATAACTTAAATAGCTAACTTGGGTAGGGATGAAACGTGGTAAGCTGGCCGAGTGGTCCCCTGAAGGAAATCCAGTTTTGGGAATGCTACTCTGTGTTAAGATGCCCTGGATGTGGAGAGGCACGAAGGCTTCAGTGTGGTGAGCTGTCCTGGGTGAGTCCCAGGCTATAAAAGGCTGCAGTGTACTGAGAAGCCCAGTGTGCAGACATAGACCAGGAAGGCCGCCCTACCCAGAACTCAGGCTCCTGATTTAGTAAATCTACTGCCTGTGAGTCCTGCTGGTGATTTCTTCTGTGATAGCTTCCATTTGGTCAATGCCTAAGAATGTAGGAATTCCATGTAGGATTCAACAATTTAGAGACCAACCCAGGTGAAATGAAGAGCCAATCTAAATACAAAAGCACCAAATGAAACAGGAGTAAAAGAAAGTGGTTGATGAGCTGTGGCCTGGGAAATGATGAATTTCCCCAGCTTTAGGGAGTTAACAGCTAGAGGGACTGACAGCACAAGAGCCTGCCAGAATGCCTGATCTCAGAGGCATGCGGATAATGTTTATAATTTATCCAAATCCATGTAATGACAGGTTTTCATTTGGCCAGCTCTTCAGAGAACAGCTTTGCATAAAACCCCACTTTCCATAAGAAGCCGAGACAATGCAGAGGCAGCATCACATGCATACAGGTGCACGGTGCCCAGAACTGACAGCAGTTACGACATTATGCTCTCTGCCATTGCCTTTGCCCATGGGAAATGGCTTCAAGGGTGTAACTTTAAAAAAAAAAAAAAAAAAAAAAAAAAAAAAAAAGGCAGTTGAGGGTTAAGATAAAGAAATAGTCAAACTTAGTTAAAAACAAACAAACTACAAACAGTAGGAACACAGACCTTCCCTGCAAGAGCAAACCAGGGTCCAACCATTTCTATATGGTTGTGGCTGACAGTAGCCAGTACCAGATGCTCAGGAAAGGAGGGTGCAAGAAACCCCACAACAGAGACTTCCAGAAAAATCTGTTTAAAGGGGAAGTTCCTTCCTTAACCCCCTTTCAGTTGGTGACTGATTTATACCTGGAAGCATAAAGTGTATACCCCCTTCTACATTTTTTAAACTGTACAATGTAATTGTGGATTGTTTCATCAACCATCTAAATGACTGCTATTTTATACACAGATATTGGCCTCTGTTTTTAATTCTACTAAGTTCTTGACTCTTCTGTGGCCGTGAATTCCAAAGTTTATTGGAATGAAATAAAACAAAGGTTTTCTTTTATACATTTTTTTCCTGTTTCATTCACTGTCCCTTATTTCTTGCATTGTGAAGAAAAGTAAATGGATGTAAATATTCATCTTTAAATTAAAAAGTCATGATCTTTTCAATCTTTCTGCATGTGGTTTTCTCCCCATGTTGCTAATCATTTTTTCAGCCATTTCTGAAGACCCACTATTTATGCTGTATCTTCTAGAAGAGGGTGGCCAGGACTGAACATACCATTTCAGGTGAAGGCATATCAATGACTTGCATAATGGCATTACAATAGTTGCAATATTATTCTACCTAATACTTTATGCATAACTTTTTTTTTTTGACATCATGGTTTCACAGAGCAGATGTTTACATCGAGATGTCCACCATGTTGCCCAGGTCTCATTCCTGAGAGTTAAATTAGAACCCAGGCATGTATACGTGCAGGTCAAATTATTCCTTCCTACATGCATTACATGTGTCAGTACTGAATTTCAACTCTAACTGTACTGTACATTTGCCTCACTTCATTAATTCTTTGATGTTCTCCACAGTCTTCTCTAGTTTTGACTAACCTAAATTTTATCTGCACATTTCACCATCGTGCTCTTTCCAAGGGGGTGGGACTACAGAATTGCCAGGCCCCCCCGAGCAAGGTGGAGGGACATCTCTGTGCTTCCAGAAGGGGTGGGGCCTCAAGAAGCAGAGGCAGGGCTGAGGCAGCCAGCCCTCAGCATGCCTGGAGTATGTCCCATCCCTGCTGCAGCCAGCCATTAGCACCACCTGGACGGAATACATTGCCTAGGGCTCCGGTAGAGATTTAAAGATCCTGGAGCTCTGGCCACCATAGCAGCAACAGTGGTGACCAAGAATCCCAGGCCCTTTTGAATCTCTGGGCCCTGGAGCAGTTCTCGCCTTTGTCCCTGTCAGTAGGTCTGGCTCTGTTCCTCCTCCCTTTCCAAGATTATTATATTAAACAAGACTAGTCCAGCTATGGAACCTTGGATCATCCCTCCGAAAACCTTTTCTATGTTGTAAATGGACAGTTTATTCCTATTCTTTGTTTTCGGTCTCAGCTTCTTTCCAATCTATGACAGTACTTTATTTCTAACCCTATAACTATACAGCCCCTCATGAAGAATGTTGTCCTTATTCTCCTTACTTGCTCTGACAGACCAGTGGGTCTATAAATTCTCTCTCAGGTTTCCTCTTTCCAATTTAATTAAAAAAATTGTTTTTGGCTTTTTGCTCTTCAAATTTTTCATTAATTTCTACCTGTGACAGTCTATATCATTAAGTAAAGACAATGAGGAGTCCTCTGGCACCTTAAAGGCTAACAGATTTATTTGGGCATACATTTTTGTGTGTCAAAAACCACGGTGTCAGATGCATGCAGTGGCATGCAACCTCCTCATTAGAAGCATGTAACCTCCTCATTTTTTTCAGAAACAAACTAATACAGCTACCCCTCTGAGACTTATACCATTATGGTAACTACTTTTACAAGACTCTGATAAATTGTGTACAAAGCATGCCTTTTGAGGTATAATTTGAAAGCTCATAATCTGCTGAACATTATTGTCATAGTAAAATATGGATATCATCAATGTATGTAAATTTATAGGATTCTACTGTCTATCATTGCTATAACATGCTTCGAGTTAAGAAAAGCAAGCACAAACCAGTATTTCAGGAACAAAGGACAGACCATCACCCAGCCTGGTGTTATTGAACTATCACTGCCCTAAGCAGCCATTCTTCAACAACAAAGAAGTGTGAATGAGAAATTTACATTTCATCAGAGGAACAATTAAGACTTCATATCCACAAAAGACTGTCAATTGCACCCCCAACTGGTGAAAGAGGGGATAGTGCATCTGACGAAGTGGGTCTTTGCCCACGAAAGCTTATGCTCCAACACTTCAGTTAGTCTATAAGGTGCCACAGGACTCCTCGCCACTTTTGCAGATTCAGACTAACACGGCTACCCCTCTGATACTTGGTATAAAAATGAGACAATTCATCTCTTCTCCCATCTCTTTGCTCTTGGCATCAAGACCATACCTTAAGGGCAAGGAACTAAGGGTAAGTGTCCCAGGCTGAAAGGGGACCCAGTCTGTGAAATTTATTATAACGTATGGTGAAGAAATTTTGCTTTTAATTTTGTTTGGTAGGTTAACCATTAGTATGCATTTTACTCTTATTTTCATTTTGTAACCAACTTTTATACATCATTACTTAAAAATCTGTCTCTGTAATTCATAAATGTATCTTATTGTTTTATCTTAACCGAAGTGTTTGACTTGAAGTGTTTGTGAAACTCCATTTGTCATAACAAGGCTGGTGCATATTGTTTTCCTTTGATGAAATGATGTTCTTTCTATGAGCCTGCATTATTCAGTCGCATGCTGGACAGTATGAGATGTGTAGTTCTGAAAGACAAGTCTGGGACTAGACAGCTTGCTAGTGTTGCTCTACAGTTTAATTCATGAGTGGCTAGTGAGTAGCTAGGAGTGATTTTACATGCTAGAGGCTGGGTGTGAACGGCCTAGGAGTGGATGTTCTTACCCCAAAGCTGTATTAGAGGCATCCCAGGTAGGAGACCTGAGGGGACAAAGCTGTTTAACAGTCCACACTGTGCCTTGGGGAATGTCACACCATCTTACATTGTACCTGCATAGTTTATGCTGCTTTCTACTGACTTCACTTGAGCTAGATTTCCATTTTCCAAAGGACATTTGTTTGGCTTGGGAACCTGGCTGTTCAACCACACTGATTCTTTTCTTGCCTTTCTGCTTTATACTAGGAGACTGAATGCCTTTTGTGAATCTCATAAGTCAGTAGCCTCCAAGGTGAGGGTAAGGGTTTTAATTTCTTTACTTTGGACTTTAAAAGCCTTTTAATTAATTTTTTTTGTTATCTTTAAAAATTCCCTTTTTAAAGCTCAGTCACAGGGCCTTAGGTACTTCCCCAGCTTCCCCCAATGATGTTGAGCATAATTATCTCGTGGCTGCTCTTAATGATTCAGCTAGGCCATTATTTATTCAACCAACTCCCAGAGAGAGAATGGTATCAACACTCTATCCTTCTCCAGTACCCTTTTATCTGAGACTGGCAACGCACATTACAGGCACCGATCCATTCATCAATTAAGGCTCACAATACCCCTAGGGAAGGGAGAGGTAAGTATTGCTAGCCCCATTTTAGAGATGCAGAAACTGATACACTGGAGTGACTTGCCCAAGGCCGTACATCTAGTCTCCTCGCTCTCCGCCCTAGGCATAACCTCCAGACCCACTCACTACCCAATTGCTGGGGGAGGGTTTCAGCAGGTTGGATGAAACACGGTGAAGCCATTCTGAAGCCTCCTCCCATCTGCCCCAGGCGCCCCTCTCTAGCAATTTTTTTCTGATGCTTGGAAGGAAAAGTGAGAAGAGGGGCCTGTTCTGTGTGTCTAAACCCTTGGCCCTTGTTCAGGACAGTTGTAAGGAGGATACTGTGCTAAATGCCCTGCTCTGCTGTGCAGGGGTCCCATCCTGGGTCTGCATATTCAGTAACTGGAGGCCGATGCAACTGAATTCTTCCCTCTGTTGCATAAGCAGGCCTGAGTTCTCTTACCTCTGTAGATCTCTTGGAAATGAGTATAAACCCATTATTATCAATGAGGAAGCAGTTCAGATTCTGCAAAGATAGAAGGAAAAGGAAGTGAAATTGCAGACAGCATTTTGGTTATGGTTGGTGGTTTACAGTTACTAGCATAAAAGGGGAGGTAGTACAGCCTAGTAGTCAGGACACTGTCCTTGGGCTTAGGATACCTGGGTCATACTCCCAGCTCTGCCACTACCCTGATGTTTGACCCTGGGGAAAGGACTTCCCCGCTCTGACTCTGTATACTATAAGCAAATCAGACACAAGGTAGGAGGGGAAACAAAGTGTGGACTCTGTGGCAGAGATGGTCTTTTACTACGTCTGTGTGGGGTGCTCCTGTATTTAGAGACTTTGTGCATCTGTCTGTCCGTGAGTCTGTTCGTTCAAGAACTCCTCCTTAATGGTAAAAGCTAGGACCACCAAATTCAGTATGCAGCTTCCTCTTACCCTAACTTAAAGCAAGGTCAGAATTTTGTTGTGCCAGGAGAATGGGATGTGACTAGAATGAGATTGTTTTCCATAACATGGAAAGGGAAGGGTCTGACAGAGGAATAATGATGCTTCACAATGACTACTGGGGGCAGCAAACGCAGAGGCAGTTAAATTGCAGAGTGACCTTCGGGGGTGGCAGACAGCTGTACCAGGAAAAAAGTGGCCAGCTGGAACTGGGGCTTTACATATTGCCAACCACCGGAGCAGGTATGTGGCACCCCGCTCCTAAACCCTGCCCACCTAGCCCTTGGCTGCAATACCAGATGGGTGGAGGAAGCCCTGCTGGCCAGGAGCCCTAGCTTCCCTCAGGGAGTTGCTGTGGAGCCCAGCCCTGCCCCCCTGCGACAAGTCACTGGGGGGGATGGGGCAGCTCAACCTATGACAAGCCACCAGCCAAGGGTACCAGGCAGCCCTCTCCCCCCCGCATAATGAGCCACTGGCTAGTAAGGTCAGGCAGCCTGGCAGTGCAGCCCTGACCCCCTGGGAGGAGCTACTGTCAGAGCAGTGCCATCCTCACTGCCACAGGCAGCCCCAGTAAGCCCCCCCTCAACCTTCCAGAATCCTGCTGTGAATCCCGCATCCTCCTGCCCTAAGCCCCTCCACACCTTCCAGCCCCTTGTCCTGACTCCTGCACCCTCCACACCTGCAGTTCCCTGTCCTGAACCCCCCCACCTCCCTAAGCCCCAGCCCCTTCTCCTGCACTCCCCCCTGCCCCATATCCCC